GAAACAGCAGCAATGAGAGAGATGGTCAAAACACAAAGGGAACTCATCTCAGCAGTAGTCTCTTCACTCTCCTTGCCCAGGTCTATACTGAGTTTTTATAGTTTGCTGAAATAGGGGATGTGTACTTCTATTTCATCTTCTAGCTGAATCTCTCAAGCTCTACCCCAGGTGCTCTTGATCCTCAGGGACTGGAATCAACTCTATAAAATGAGAACGAAATGTATAAGTTATCAGATGACTGATAAGAGCACAGAGGCACAAGAGAAATGAGAAAAAGAAGTATCTCTCACTCAAGAAAATGGAACAATCTTCCCTTAACCATAGACAGCACAAAAGAATTTATAGAAATGTCAGAAAAAGAATTCAGAACATTCGTGGTATAACAATTGAATGAGATGAAAGGAAAACAGACAACCAACATAAAGAGAAGGGAAAGCCCTTTCATGACTTGAAGGAGGATATAGACACCATTAAAAAAAATCAAACAGCACTTCTAGAGATGAAGACTCTAATACGGGAAAACAAAACCTCCCTTGAAAGCATTAATAACTGATTAGGCCATGCAGAAGAACGGAAATCTGATATGGAAGACAAAATGTCTGACTTAGATAAAACAAACAAACAAAAGGAACAAAAATAACAAGAATAAAATAGAAAAGAGAGCAGCATGCTTGAGGACTATACTAGGCACCATTAAACACATAAATATCCAAATAATAGATATCCCAGAAGTTGATAGTGACATAGAAGATCTATACTATAAATTACTTGCAGAAAATTTTCCAAGCCTAGAGAAACATTCAGACATGCAAACCCAAGGTATAAAAAGGAGTCAAATAGAATCAACCTAAGAAGATCCTGTCCATGGCACATCATAGCCAGATTGGTCAAAATAAAAGATGACAAAAAGAGTATAAAAACGGCTAGAGAGAAATGTCTGCTTACTTACAAATGTTTTCCTTTTAGGCTAACAAGACCTCTCAACAAAGTAACACAGACAAGGAAAGAATGGGAAGATGTATGCAAAACATTAAAAGCAAAACAATTTCAACCAAGAATGTTATGTCCAGCAAGATTATCCTTCACATGTGAAGAAAAAATGGAAGTATTCCTAAATAAATACTGAAAGAATTCAACACTAGACAAGATCTTCAAAAAATCTTGAAAGGATTATTACATTAAGAAAAATAGAGACAAAAAGAAATAGAGAGCAAGAAAAAATCAAGAAAATGGCTAACAAAATGGCAGGGATCAGTCTAAAAACACATATAATAGCACTGATATTTTTTAAAAGTATTTATTTAACTTCATTCATTTATTTATTCATTTTTATTTGACCAGAGAGGCACAGAGTGAGAGAGGAGAAGTAGGAAAGCTGGCCACCAGGTCCGGTACAGGAATTGCAGTCAGCCATGTGGGAGTCCATTGCTACTAGCTACCACACCATCTGCCATCACCAGCATTGAATGTTAGTGGGTTAGATTTTAAAATCAAAGGGCACAAACTTCTATGGTTTAACAGACAGACAAGCCAAGAGCCTACTATTTTCTGCCTATAAGAAAAGCGCCTCACGGAACCAGCAGTTAGTGTAATGGCTATGTCGCTGGACTCCCACGTAGTCGACCGCGGTTCAAGTCCCAGACCTGGTGACTTAAACTAACGCCAGGCGTATGTGCGTGTGTGCCCAAGATCCCGAGAGAAGAATGGAAGAGAAGGGATTGTGGCATGGCCATCGCCCCTGGGGGGCTTTTTATCTATCTGTCTGTCTGGTGAGCACGTGTGCCCCTATAGCAAAAAAAAAATAAAAAATAAAAAATAAAAACTCTCCAAAAAAAGGAACATGAAAAGTGCCTCACAGAGAAAGACATACATACATTGTACGTGAAGTGCTGGAAAAAGATATCCCATGCAAATGGAAAAAATAACTTAAAAAATTGGAGTTGTAATAATGGTATCAGAGAAAACAGACTTTATGGAAACTGGAAGAAGAGGGGAAAAAGGAAACTATATAGTACTAGAAAGGGTAATTCACCAAAAAAATAAAAACCTATAGGTATCCGTGCACCCAACCCTGAGAACATTGAAATACATGAGAGAAATTCTGTTAACTCTACAGGGAGAGATAGACTACAACACAATAATAGTTGGGAATTTCAGCACTCACTATCTTATCTGAACAGATAACCTGGACACAATAGATCGAATAAAATTCCAATAAGGAAAGAGATACATGATCAAAGTGATAACATAAATCAAAAGAACTTGATAGACATCTGTATAACTAATCATCTAACAACCACAAAATATACATTTTCTCACCAGCAGATGAAACATTTTGAAATAGTGACCATTTGATGGGGGCACAAAAGAAGCCTAAACATAATCAAAGGTATAGAAAATATATCCAGCATCTACCTTGACCACAGTGTAATTAAACTGCAGAAAAATACCTCAAAACTTCACAAATACATGGAAAGTGAACAATCTACTCCTGAATCACTTCACAACCCCTGAAGAAATTAAAACTAAATCAAATAATTCATTGAAACCATAATGATCATTTGAGTTTTCATAAGCTGTGGGATACTGCAAAGCAGATATGAGGGAGTAGTGCCCACAAGAAAAAAAAAATGAAAAGTGACAAATACACAGCCTAACAATACATGTCAGGGAACTGGAAGAAATACCAAGGTAAAAGACGTAATTAACATTTATACATAAATACATAAAGTAGAAAATGAACTGCACAGAAAATAATTGAATCCAAAAATGTTTTGAGAAGATAAACAAAATTGTCACACCATTACCTAGACTAAGAACAGAGAAAAGAACCAGATAAATCTTATCAGCAGTGAAACAGTCAATATTAGAACACACATAACAAAAATACAAAAGATCATCAGAGAATAATACAAGTGATTATACACGAACAAAAAAGAA